ATGCCCTAGATTCATTTTGTCACGGGCTTGCGAGTTCGGGTTTGTCGTTCGGCTTGTTCGAAATTAATTATATTTAAAATCGGCTCATTAATACTAAAAATTATTCGTAGAAATGCAGATCTCTACCGTCCATCAATCGTCAATCAATTTTTTTTTAAAAAAATTTAAAATACGGTCCACTGTTATCCATGTTGCTGTGATGAATGGTGGAGATCGGACACCGTATGCATTTCTGCATACGGTGTCCACATGAAATAATTTTTCCATGAATAGTGTATTCATATTCGGTTCGATTAAAAAGTTTTTATTCTTATTCAGCTCGTGTTAGACGTGAAATTTGCTTATTAAAATTAATTGGGAAAAAATAGATGTATAGTGCTGGATTTGAATCTGCATTAACTCAATGAAATAGAATACGCAAAACTAGATAACTGCATGAGCAATTATGATTTAAACTTAGATTTAAATATATATAATATATTATTATATAAATAATATATATATATATAATGAGTCTAATACGAGTGAACAAATGGTTGTTTATATTCAGTTCATTTATATTTCGAGAAATTTATTCATATTTAATTTGTTTACTTAACAAATGAGCCACTTAACAAGTTGTTCCAAACAACCAAAATTGTTGAGAGCCGGCGTGGCATGGGACCCACCACTAGCTATCGGGCCGAGCAGGCACGTAAGCCGGGCCGTCTGGAAAAAAATGAGCTAGAACAATGTGGACCCGGCCCATATACTGTTAAGCTAGTCAAAGTCGAGATCCACGTGGCCGTTAATGGGAAAGAGGGGTCAGCCGTCATGATGCATTATGTGAATAGGAGGGAGGGAGAGAGAGAGATTCATGAATCAGTATTTTGAAATATAACGACAAGGGAAAATTTAGGTTCTTATTCTTCTTTGGTTTAATTTAAAGTTTTTAAACCAAATTTATCTTTTAAATAGATCAAAAATATTTAAATTAAAATATTTTTGAGCAAAGTATTCAACACTTTTTCACTTTATTTCCAACCAATAAGCTATAAATTCAAGTATAATTTGAATCAAATTCGATTTATCTTTGACCCGACTGACCCAAAGTAGAGCCAAGTAACTCATTTAAGTAATGACATAGCAATCAACAACAACAACAACAACAACAACAAAACATTTATCCTACTAAATGTGGTCGGTTGCATGAATTCTTTTTCTCCATTGTCTTATTTAGTTTCATATTTTCATTTAATTCTAATATATTAAGATCATTTTTTATACAATATACCAAAGTCTTCCTAGGTCTACCTCTGCCTCTCTTAACATAAGTCGAATCTAAAACATCTATTATTCTAATCGGATCATCAGTTGGTCAAGGTTTAATGTGACCAAACCATCATGTTTTAAATATATATTTTCATATTCAAATTAAATTCAAGTCAAATTTATATGTGTAAGTCTACTCAAACCTAACATAAACAGTTAATTTGGTCAAAAAAGCTAAACTAAACCTCTACCTAAAAGTTAATTAGGCTAAACTCATAGTTTTATATTATAATTGTAGTTGTAAAGATGGAAATCTATGGGTATCCAATGTCATTATTTTTTTTAATTTTGTATTGATTTCTAGCGGATTTCTAATCAATTTTTCGTTGCTCCAGTTGATATGAAAAGAATTGTGATAGGGAAAATTCCCCTCAAAAAATTTTGTCTGATGATTTATGGTAAAAATTTTTGTTCGCCAGTAACAAATCGTGTGAATTAATATGTCCGCAAAACTTAGAGAATTTTTTACTGATATTGCGTTAAAAAGCCAAATAAAACATTTTTCGACGAATTTGTTAGAATCAAAATGCATTTCCGACCTAGAAATTTAAGGGAAACATTAACATCGAAAGTGCATCACAAAAATAGTTTTTGATGAATTTTTTGTTACTTCTCATGAAAATTTTCATCAGAAATAGTGTATTTTTATGTATTGCATCTTTGTAAACTCATCCTTGTATGATTCAATTGTTTCAATATAGAGGGTCGGGTGACTACTCAGTTTGAAGCTCAAATGATTGTTATGAAAACAATGAAGGTAGCTCCCCCAGAGAAGACACCAACATGGCTAGCAAATGATTAGCCATGCCGGCTCACGAACAGATAAGCGAGCCTGGACATATTTGAACGTACGTATGCTCATTTAATAAATGAGCTTGAGTTTGATCTCGAGCTTTAGCTCATGCTTAATAAGCTCGACTCATAAGCTTATCAACATTCCAGTTTGATCAAACTCCTGAGCTGACTCGGCTCACTCACACCCTTACTTGGCTCATTTACAGACTTAACTTCTTCTTTTGTGGTTCGTTGCTATCTTAACTCAATTCACATATTGTATTGATTCGATATTTCTAACCTTTTAAAGTTAGAAATGTCATTTTAATGAGTTAGGTTTGGAGTTGGGTCCGAAATTGTTATGGTCTAAATGGTCATATAGGTGTTAGGAGTTGGCAGTTAAATTGTCCTCTTAAAGAGTCAAAAAAGTTATGAACAGGATAAGGGCCAATGCGCAACTTGAAGAGAGCAATGGAACCACATCCATGCTTAAGAATAAAGATTCCATATGGTGAGGAAAGCTTGTGAATGATAGATAATACTAAATTATAGGATAAGAAAATTATATGTTTTTAATCATATACAAAGATTCCAAAATTTAAATAAATAATTTAATGCCAAATTTTTTTAATAAATAGATGTGTTACTTGAAATATTTTTTTATTAATTAATTGCTATATTTTATACATAAATTGAGTTGATATTTGGGAGTCATCTTCACGCCTGTTTATAATCTTATGTGACTTGGGCGACAAGAATGCCGGTGCCTACAATCATCAGAGGATCGATGGGACAGCTCTTTCATGTGTAGTTGTTCGTGAATGATGTACTACTGGACTTCATCCATTCTATACACATGAAAATTTAGAATTCAGCATGGCTGAAACAACCCTCTCCAACTATAAATATGGTTAGAGGTTTTAGCTGACTTATCATGAAAATATGTGAAGTATGAGCCAAAAAAATTATACTATTTAGGAGAGGTCCAATGATGATGAGAAAAATATGAAAAATCTAAAACGAAATGATTGCCTAACTAGGAATTCAAGAAGATTTTAACTTGGGAGTTAAGTGACTATTTTATTGAAAATATTATTTACAATATATTACAATATCTTACAATATCATACTTTTGTAGTCTAAAAGTTAAAGTAAGAATAGCAAATAAAATTAAATATTTTTTTTTGTACATTTATATTGTTGAGATATCTAATTTAAGTTATAGGATTTATTGTCGTTCTTGTTAAGACATATAATAGGAAATAATTTATTCCTAGAAAAAGTTATGAGGAATAATTTTTTTCTTTAATATAATGAGATATTTTCGTTTCATATATTAGGAATTATTTGTGGATTAGGAAAGATTTGTTTTCCTATTTTACAATATTTCTTATATCTCCTAATAATTAATATATTATCTTTCATTTCATATCATTTTTTTTCATTATTTTTCTTATTATAGGATTCTTGTATGGGTTATTTATACCCCCGTTTATATCAATAAAAGTATTCCGATGTATTCCACTTTATTTCGCATTATTCAGCATAGTATCAAAGCCTAATTTTGTGCTCTAGCCATCAGCCATCGGTCTTCCTTTGAGAATTGTCGGACTACCTTCTAAACTTCACGATCACATTCTGTTGGATTACTGTGTTCGCCTTCTTCACCGTTCTTGAAAAGCTTCGCTTGACCATCACTACTCTCATTGTAGTGGCTCCGCTACGTGGTTAAGTTTCTTTTTGAAGCAAGCTTTCCTGTCATCTTTCTTCGTAGCTTTACGGGGGATGAGAATGGAGTTAAGATACCTGCAGGAGCATCGCTTTCTTCGTGTTGTTTAATCACGGCTCTTCTTCGAGCCTGTGTGCAGCACTTCAATCGTGTTTATCTTCGTCGAACACAAGTGGAGAACCTCTTGGACAGCAAGCGGGGCGTGGGGCTCCTCGCCCTTAAGAAGCCGCTGCCCATCCCCTCACGGTGGCTGTGGTGCCCTTCCTTCCGCAGGCGATAGCCCATCTGACCCCCCCCCCCCCCCCCCCCGCTATCTCTCCGAGTTATCTTTCTCTTAACTAACTCTCTCCCTTCATTCACGAACCAAAGCCCTTGCACACCAAGACATTCGTTGTTTCCTGCTCGAAGCCCTTCGTCACCTCCTTCCTCGCCCGATAGATTTGGCCTTTGCATTTCTTCTACTGCTCGGTTGATCTCTCCGCTCTCAAAATCCTCGGTTTCTGCTTCCTCTTGGTCGGATTTGCATGTTTGCATTGGTCAAGAGCCACGGCCTTTGAAGAGACCTCGACCATCATGTCGCAGAAGTTCGGCGATGCTTTGGAGCTGAAGAAGGCTCCGGTAACGGAGGATTTCTCACTTGTAGAGATTCCGAATGATTGAGAGCTAAGCGAGGATGAAGATTTACTTAGCAAGCTTGGTTCCAAGTTGGATTTAGATGACACTTCATCCTGTTTTACGGAGCTGGTGCTTTGCTTGTTCTGTGGATTTCATCAGCTGTTGTCAACGCAATTGATGCTTTTCATCTGTTTCTAAAAGTGTTGGAAT